AACACATATTCAAAACATTTATTGCTTCATCTACTGCCCAGGTTGGTGACAGAACGGGACAAATCACTGCTCAGATGAACATCTCAGACTTAAAGGCACTTCTTGGAATTCAAGAGAGAGTTAACGACCATGACAGGTAACTATGGTGATGTCGACGTCATATGACACAAATACCAGAATGCCTTGCTCGCAGTGACAAGGTGCAAACTTTTCGATGGTTGTTTTTCGAGCAGCAAGCGTTTAAGACGTTTGTGTATACTCTTGTATCCCACTTCCCTGATAGAAGTATTTTAAACCGTTTTTCTTTGTTATGGAAAGGAACTTGTCCTCCGTAGACATCTGACATTTTTATCTATACCATGATGCATTTCGCCAAAGCATACATTACGTCATAAGCAATACCATGATGCATTTCGCCAAAGCACATATTTACGTCATAAGCAAGATCATGATGCATTTCAGCAAAGCATACATTACGTCATAAGCAATACCAGGATGCATTTCGCCAAAGCAAAGCATTGATTGCGTCATAAGCAATACCATGATGCACTTCGTCCAAGCAAGTGACGTCATTAGCGTTAAAAACCATTTGCTCTTAACTACCAGCTACCAGTCATTTTTTAGCACCAGTGTCGGTTACATGTTTTTCAATTCYTTGTCAATCATCATGTGTTTTCTTGGTTTTAGTGAAATGGGAGCTGAAGGAGGRCAGAGAAGCACCAGCCCAGGATCCATCAAACAACTATTTCGTAAACACAGCAAATCTGACGCAGGTAAAATATGAGTGTCTTTGTTGTAACATGTTGTAATGTACCTCGGTCATTGAACTTGAACCAACCTAAGCCACCGGAAATTGTAATCGCAAGAAAATCTTTTTTTATCACTCTAAGAAGTACCAATTATTGCATTTATCGACTTTTTCTACCATAAGCCAAAAATAATGATAATGATAATGATGAAAAACAGACATTACACTTATATAAATTCCTTTTTTTTTTTGGCTTGCTTGACTTGACTTGAAACTAACTATCTATCTTCATAATGTTTAGCTTTCTCTTAAAAGAAGTTCTTATTGATATTGTAAATGTTTCGTAGGCGATAATGTACCGACTTTGTTRATTATTTGCTAATGAACTTCTTTTTATTGTGTTTTAGAGAGGCGTAAAGATAACCAGGTACGTGAATGTACAAAAAACACGTGTAATTCTGAGGCGCAAACGTGTAACTCCAGTTTAAACGTCGAATTTCACATGCGTCGAACTCGAGGCAAATGAGCCCAGTCTTTGTTATAGCGTGTTGCGATCTCATTGGACTTGACCCTTGTGAAATTCGATGTTTTAAACTGGTCTAAGCGTACGAATCTACAGAATTTGCAAATCACTTGTAATTCCAAGAAACTTGGAAAGTTGAAAGCTACGAAATGGTAATTGCGCATTCAATCTCAGTGATTTTTGCTGGTTGATCAAGCCAACTACGTATTCTCTTCAAGAGGCAATGAGCAGCAACGCCATTTTGTAGAGAGCATACAGGGAGTTGTATTCCTCAATCTTTCTATTTTAAAGTACTTTGGGCTTTCTTGATCTCTGTTGATGAAATTTCTAAACGTTTTTGCATAGAAAACAGTAAAAACGATTAATTTTTTGAAGTACGTGAAGATTGCATTCTAGAACTCCGTTCTAGAAAATGGCGTCGCTACGTATAATCTATAGAAGAAAGATAAGAAAAAAGCACATGCTGTCTGGCAGTCCTTACTTTTGCTCCGCGTGCGTACACTCATGTTGTAAATACCGCTGGCGTACGTGACTTCCGATGCCCAGTAAAATCCCTGAATATGTTTGTGAAAACTGACAGTCGAAAGCTCAAATTTATTTWAAAAAAGGTTTCATAAAGAAATCCACTAATCTTTGCTAAAAAAAATATTTGTTTTGAAAGGACAATATCGCCATAAACTGTTTCATTTTTATCGCATTTGGAATTTAAAATACAGGAAATGCACTTATAATGAAGGACTCTCGACCAAAAGGACTCCCRACTCCTTAAMAATATATTGCTTACYTACTGCGGCGCGGAAAGGATCCTGTGTTAATTTGCAGGAACCAAAAAAATGGCGGAAAACTAACAAAAYAAATGTGCTATACTGACAAGTCTMTTTTTCGTGCAGCTATACAATAACTTTTGACATTTATTTCAGAACAATAGACTTCTGAACCTTTTACGTCACTACTTGATTTTCAATGCATTGTGGGATCAGTTTCAAGAGAAAACAAAAGAAATCCGCCATGTTCTGTCSCAAACATGTCCTACAATGCATTGCGTATACGGTACATGACGTAAAAGCTGCAGAGGTCTATTGTTCTCTAAAACAGGCCGCCATTTTTCGACTCACTGAGAGTCCTGTTGCGTACCACAGGTATCCCGCATTGATTTTTAAWTGACTTCATTTGAACGTTTCTATGTCAACAGAATAAAGATGGACGCCGTAAGATCTCAACGCCTTCAAACAACACAAGACCTGTGGACGCAGCACAGGTACAATTACGCGTCGCCTCTGAGGTAATTAATTCAAACCCCCGTGACGTAATTTCAACTCGTCTCCAGGGCCTATTCACTTCGTTTGTGTGAAAAGGGCCTGGCAACGAGCTTACTTTCGAGGAGTAYTTTGGTATATTTTGCGTCRAAAGTAATGTTTTCAATGTAAACGATAAAGGTAATAAATAGAATTGTTTATCGGAGTGTGTAGAACGTCATTTGRCATACGTTTTGAATTAGCTGTGACCACTAAAAAGCGTTTAGCCTTCAAGTGCCGCCCTATTTTGAATAGGATTACTTAATTTTGCGCGATATCCATTTAAAATCATCTGTACCCACAATAAAACAGCTCCACGCATCAMAACCTGGATGTTGATGGACGTSAAAATATCACACTCTAGTTCATTGGCGTAAGTGTCTAAGTGGTCTGTTTTTCGCTCTTCAGAATCGTGGTCCCATTGGAGATTCACTCGATGATAACTTCTTCGATATGCTAACTCGATGTCAAGGAAGTCGAATAAATGACCAGAGGGTTGATGCGCCTGAYCCAATGGTCTCTAAAAGCAGGAGTGCAGACGATCTTCTAGAGCTTGTCGCGAAACTACAGGGAGATCGCATGGATGAACAACGCTTTGAACTCAGAGATCCTGAGGATGCGGAGGGTGCGACTTCAGAAAGTATGAGTTTTTTCTTTCATTTTCATCCCTTCATTCCTTCCCATTTTCTAGTTTTTTTCTTTCTTTATTCAATTATTCCATAGCTTGTAGAGGGGGACTGCGAACTATAATTAATCCTACTTTCTTTCTTTCTTTCTTTCTTTCTTTTTTTAAAATTGTATTATTCTATTCTCTGCCTTCGTACCCTCTTTCTTGACCAAAGGCTGTGAGTTTCATAGTATGTTTTAGAAGTTGAGCTGCCTTTGTTATTTAAGGAGGGAGGCGTTCTTGTRACCATATTGAGTGATTCACAAAACATTCGACTACTAAACAATCTTGACTGCATATATCTTCATCAACCGTTTTGAAAACTGATTTGAGTTTAAATGATCACAGTAAAAAATTTCGTTAAGATGAAAGTACCTTTTAATGGAGTGAATTGTGATTTATTCATTTTCTTTTTTTTTTAATCGTTTTTTTTTTTACTTTTCTTACTCTTTTACCTTCAGTTTTTATGTCAATCCCCTGTGCTTTAATTGTTTTTTAAAATGACAACATGATCCCAAAAAAATCTCATTTAAAACATTTCCCCCTTTTAGTTAAATTTTCTCTTCCGTTCTAGGAATAGTCTTTCGTCTTCTCCGCCGTCCTTTCGCCTTTCTTTTAATTATTCCTGTCTCGTAACTAGTTATTTTTTTGTCTCCATCAGCCTTTTAATTGCTTACATAAGAGCGAATCCACGTTTTATATCACGCGGACCACGGAAACGCATCAACATTKCTCCCTTAGCAGAAAAAAACGGCATATGACTTAGCACAAAAAAAATTACTCCATAAAAAGCGAAAGAAAGAAAGGGAAAAAGTGCGTTTTTTCTTTCTKTTTACAATTCTTGTCTCATAACTATTTAACAATTATTGTCCCTTTCGCTGTTTTTGCCTTTTTTTGCGTGGGAGAAATTAATTCTTTCTTTCTCTTCTAGGAAAACCTGTTTTGAAACTGAACAAGAACCAAACTGGGACGCTTTCTGATGATCTGTATGAAATGGTCCTTCGTAGTCAAGTAAGCAGAACTAAAAACCATTTTTCTTATCTCAAACATGTCTGTAAAACTTAAGARTTTCTTTGTCTTTCTTAAAATTATCTTCAAATGCTTTTAACCGTAAAGGCATAAATGGAATTAGAATTTAAATTCCCAAAGGGGGAGATTTCAATGAAGATAGTTTAGAGATGCGGTATAAAATGTCAAAGATTTGCGTAATGATAAAAGCACTTTTTCRATAAGCATGACATCCACTTGTGTTTTTTGACACAAGCTATGATGCATAAAGATTCGTACCAAAGCTTCAGAAAAGCTTGCGGTGGACTAGTCTACTCTGGAACGTCGTATTTCATTGTGCTGTACTTAAAAACGCAAGCTAAAATGTAAAATTCATCAGTTTGTGTTTCCTCGGAAAAGTCGCAAATATATAGCCATATCGTAACGAATTGAGCGTCGTACTTTTTGATTAACTTATTMAAGAACTGTTTGCTGATTGCGAAGTTTCATTTAACTATGGTTTTAATGTAAGAAAGTCATTAAAAACATTTGGTCTCGTAAATTTAAGAGAAGAATATCCCAACTGCTATTTCATCTTAAAAGCGACTTCATAATACGCAAATAATACTCTTCTTTCCAAAAAAGCAAACTTTGTGTGGGGCGTTTCTTTTCYCCGAAAGTTGAAACCACTAGAGTCCAAAGRATGRATGTGTGTCATTAGCAAAGCACAAAATTGACATACGTAAGCTTCATTTCTGCAGTTTATTAGCACCCCGGGCTGACGGATTTCGTTTCGTCGGATTAGCGTGTTTTGCGTATGAATTTTAAGAAACCCACTTGTTATACGATCGCTGTGTACTTGAACTAAGACTAAAAGGTAATCCTTCCAGTCATTTGCGCTTTTTTGCGTTAAAAGCCGTATTAGTTTACAAGGGAAGAGTTTTAGGGTAGGGAAACCTCTATACGCCGATCGATGTACGGTAAAACGACCATTTATTACGATTTTTTAGAGAACTTTTTTTTTCTCTCTTTCTGTCAGGAACGAATGAATAAAAGAAAAAAACATTCATAGATATATTACATTCATAGATGAATTAAAAATTAAAYGGATGAATTAATGGATTGATGGTTAAAATGAATCAAAAGAATGTTGCATGAATGAATGAAAAGATTATTGAAAAAATGAAGGAATAGACTTCATATGAACTGTATGAACAGAGGGAGTAATTGAGCAGCGATTGAGATCTATTGATTTTCATAACAGTCAATCAGTGAATAAAACACATGTTCCATATTTTTAGGCTCACAGATTAGAAGACCAGAGAAGCGAGCCTCCTCTACACAGACAGGCACCTACAGTACCAGATGARGATTTCTTTGGTTTGATACTAAGACTTCAGTCCAACCGCATGGATGATCAACGGTCATCACTTCCAGGAAATAACAAACGATATTTCTCRAAATGAATTTCCATCCRTGCGTTGTTTCAGCACTAAGAAGTGCCATTGACAGCCCAACTCCATTAAAGACAGCWCAGCAAATWATGCRTTGTCRCAAGCAAGGAGGACAACATAGTCTGCTTTATAAGTATGATTGCATCTCTTGTGCCCAAAAAGGAGCTTTGAAAACATGTACACAATGAAGCCCAGTTATTGGCAATGAAAATGAAACATTTTAGTTTGCTTTTGAGAGTAGTTCTACCACATTGTCTCTCAGAATGTTTTAGATGTGACATAGTAGAAACAAGGTGAAAATATGGGAACAATGTAAACTGTTATTGATCAAATTCTCCTGAAAATCATGAAGTTTGAGGAGAATTTAGATTTTTATCAAGTTCCCTTTTTGATAAAGCCAAGCAAATTGATCTTGTATATAGAGTATAGCTAATAGAAATGAGAATAGCATCAGTAGAATTTTAGATGTGAATTTTTTTAATTCTAGTAGTGTGGATGCCAACCAAGGCATGAAATATTTTAATACTAATWATTACAATCATAATATTTGTCCCCAAATCCCTGTATATTAGAGTAGCATATAACAATGACACTTGACTGCACATGCACTTTGCAGACATTTTACAATAAACCATACTTCATACTCGTACCCAGTGCACCTCGGTCTCCCTAACGATGGGAGAAGGGATGACCGAGGTGCACTGGGGACGAGTATGACCATACTTTCCATAAATAATTAGCCAATTAGAAGTTTTGTTAGTCAGAGCCAATAACATGCATTGTTAGTTTTAACCAATCACAATTGTTCATTTGAGCCAATCATATATTCTGTTACTTTTAATAGCCCATTGCAAGTGCTACTGATTAGTGGGATAGCTTTAGGAGAAAAAAAAGTAGAATTTAATTGCATATGTTAATTTTACTTCATTGCTTGGGCATATGTTGTAAATATTATTGTAAAATTAAGCTCTTATTTAGCAAATCAGTAAGAGCTTTACTATGAAAAGTTCCAACTTTGCATTTTTGAAATGTCCATTGATATTTTGATAACGGTAAAGATGATATACCGCCTGTATACAACAAGGCTTAACACTTATCTTGGCTCCTAGAGCATTGAAACATTTTCTAACAACTTCCAATCATTTTGTAAGTGTTATTTTTAGATTTTCATTTACGTTTTGACCTACGAGATCAGTGGCAGATGTAGGAGGTTCACAGGGTTCCATGTAATTCAAARATTTGAGTTTGGATGCATCTAAGGCAAATTATAATGAAAAAAAAAGCATGACGTTTTGCATTGTGCCTTGTTTTTATGGCATGTTTTAAGAAAAATAACCACCTTTGATAAGTCCTGGATCTGCCACTATAGACCACAGCAAGCAGGTTATTTTTGCACTTCATTAACTTGTGGGGAGCATAGAGCTTAATGTTGTGATAATCAAAGTAGAATATGTATAGTCAGTTCCAAAAAAGCTTGGTCTAGGTCAAAATAAAATCACTCAAGTCAAGTAACATAACTGGGCCATGTTTTGGCTAACTGGATTAAGATTACATCTTTGCACAGAACGGACAGATTTACTATTAATGTAGTTAGCTGCAGAATTATTTAAGCAGCTTCTTTCTCGGTGAACAAAGGAAAACTGATGCAATGACGAAAAGTGAATGAATTCATGTCATTGAAAAGAAAGTGACCTTATCATTTTCAGTGAATAATAATCTGTGAAATAGAAAAGTTAACATACTAAATCTGTGAAACAAATGCTAATAATTTCACTAGCAATGGATGGGCATTATTTACCAACTATTTTGTACTATTTATATTTCACAGATTCATGTAATTTTCATTAAAAATATGGAGTGTGGGAAATTCTCTTTTAACTGACCATTACAAACTTGAGTGATTTTATTAGAAAACATAACAAAATTAAAGAACATATTTTTTTATGTGATTTGATTTTTTTAATTGCAATTATTAAATTTCAAGTATATTATTTCTTAGTTAGTGGTCTCATTGACGATAGTAAATGTTGCCCCCATGTGGAAGAATTGATAATTTGATATGGTGTAGAATAATGATGATATTAACGAGTGAATAAACTTTGTAGAAAACTGTTTTGTTCGTGTGTTTGATGAAAATWAAAGGAAATCTCATTTTACTCGGGATGAGGAAGAGGTAAAAAGGTTTGTAGAGTATAATACTACGACTTCAAACTGGCTTTCCAACTAGTTTCGTATATATAATTTTTTTCGAGTAGAAGAGGTGAATTCTTTGAAATATTTCAACTTTTTTCGTTTTGAAGTATCAAACTCTCACTTCTTGAGGAATTTCTCAGCAAGCTGGATTGTGTTTCACAACATTTTTTGGGAATTTTTTTGCTAGATCCTAAAATTAGTTGAAATTCTTGCGCGTGTTGATCTAAACATGGGCTTTCCAGCAAGTTTCAGGGAASTTTGGATAAATAAATTTTTTCGGCTAGAATTTGARGAATTCTTCAGAATATTTCACCTATTTTCGTTTTAAGGCATCGAGCTCTAATTTTGAGAGGCATTTTTGGAAGAGTCGGGGTGTATTTTATAACATTTT